ACAGAACTGCCGGAACTGTGCGATTTTAGGTGTCAGTTTCTGTCTTATAAGATCCGAAAAATTTTTTGAACAGTTCCGGCAGTTCTGTTGAGAGTTCCCGGTAGCCCCCGCAGAGTTCTATCGAAAATCCTAATTGCAAAATTCCATTACATTAATACTTTTATAGTTATGCCTATTTCTGGGATACTGTTTCTTGATTCTTCAACTTCGTTTTTTTTTACTTTCTCATGCAGAACTGTTGTTAAAATGTATCAAGAACTCTAGAACTATGCGAAATCTATCCAGAACTCCATTTAAAAAATTAGTTTTTACGAAAAAGGGGGGCTGCGTGAAGTTAGCCCCCCCCCCCCATTTAAAAAAATTCATTTTAACGTCTTTAATGGGCGGAACTATTTCTTAAACCCATCAAGAACTCTGGAACTATTGTAAATCTATAGGGAACTCGTAAAAAAAGTTAAATTTTTAAATAATGGGGGGCTAATTTCATAGGGGTCCTAGACTTGTATTCTCGCTTATTGAAATATTAGTCCTTCTTTGTCCTTATGTTTTAAATCAAGTAGATTATATGCGATGAATTTCTGTTTTCATGTCATACAACAATAGAAATAAATCTGCGCAGTTTATAGCGTGCAATATTTATTAATATTCTTTCAAACAGCCGTCTTTATTGGACTTCGTGGTGGACTTCGTGTGGAAATGGAAGACAGCGCCTATAAATGTCCCAAGGAAGGATGCAACAAGAACTTTCGAAAAGAAAATCTGCTGCAGATGCATATCAAGCACTACCATCCCGAATACTCCAAGTTCCTGGGCTCCACTCCCAAAGTTGAAGATCTGGCTTACGCGAGAACGATCGGGGAATCCATAGAAGATATAATTCCCAAAAAGACGCCGACGTTCTTAGAGAAAATTAATAAATCCGCGAAGAAGAAATCTCTTCCTGAGAAACCATCGTCTACTTTATTACAAACGGCGCTTAGCGCTACGCAACAGACGTCTCAGTCGATATCTGGCCCGATCTTGCCGGAGGAAGAGGAGATAGAGCAGTCAGAAAAGTGTAATGATTTGCAGAAGGAGGATATGAAGATTGAAACGATGTCACCAATCTCTAATCACAGTATGGAGATAGACGACGATATCGAAAGGAAGAGAGAAACCGCCTGCGCGTTGTCCCCTGGCACATTGTTCGACATGAAGGTGAAAGAGGAAAAAGCGCAGGGTGGCATTAAAACGCTATTGCCCTTAAGACCGGTTGCGACATCGGAGGTGCAAAGAGTCGACAGGACGAAATCTGTGGACGAAATAGTTCACGGTGAGCGTGGGAAAAGCCAGAAAAGAAAGCAACCTAGCGAACCTAGCGTGGACTTGTTGCCGGCTAAAGCAAAGAAACGGCACGGTAAGCTTTCTTCTTTTTTTACGTATACAAGACGTGTGTTCTAAGATTAGTCCTATATTTCATTAATTTACGAAAGAAAAGATGAATTTACACGGCGTTCAATGTTCCTTTGGATAGGTATGTCAGATCTTGCCGATAGTTTCGGTGATCTGGATGACAGTGCTATGGACGTCGAAGGACCTACGGCACTTATGTATAGATATAGCCGTAGGAAATCCGATTCAAAGAGCGATGAAAACAGCCAGAATAGTAAGTGCGAGCGTTTTGCCGTACCTTACAGAGCGATACGAAAGCAATTGTTTTGTTTCAAATACGCTTTTTTTCTAATTTAATGCAGCTATACGTGGGATCTTTAAAGTAAAATACGTAATATAATATTTACTTGTATTATTTCTGTTGTTCCTTAGGTCAGCTAAATGATTCACGCATTGAAAAAGCTGATCCCTTAAAAGGGGATGCAATCAAAACAGATAGTAATAATGATGCAGAAGGTACATTATTTTTTTTTTAATCTTTTCACCAACTTGGTTTCATGATTTCACATACTGCCAGTCTTATTTTCGTTGCGTTATTTTATGTGCTCGCAAGAAACAAACACATATTTGGTACCTCACGCCACACGCGTCTCTTTACCGTAAATTGTTCATATAAGTTTTCTTATGTACATGTGATAATTTATCGCAGAGAGCGAAGGAGTGATGATGATGATTAACGGCGAACTGGTGAAGGTAGAACAACTTCGGAGAGAAGAAATAATAAATTGCACGTGTGGTTTTATGGAGGAGGACGGTTTGATGATACAGTGTGATCTTTGCCTCTGCTGGCAACACGGTCACTGTAATTTGATTGAGAAGGAAAAGGACGTTCCCGAGAAATATATTTGTTACATATGTCGAAATCCATATCGACTACGGCCGTCTAAGAAATATTATCACGACCAGGACTGGATTAAGGAAGGGAAATTGCTAAGGTAATTTATTTCTATTTAGATTGCGTGTGATTATAATTATTTGTATACGGTAATAATCTGTTTATGCTATTTGTTGATTATGCAGCTTGTCTAATCGAACTCGGAATCAGAATATGATAAATCAAAGGACTGCAATGCTGAAGCGTTCTTATGATTTGGTTGCTGCACTCTTACAAATGCAACAACTTCTTCATAGTCTGCGCGTAAAGATCAACGTGGCACAGTAAGTCGTACATATGTCTGCCTACTTGGGAAAATGTATGCTTGCGCTGTAGCAACTAATTTGCTTGAATTTACACAGAAAGAAAGATCACCCGAAATTATATCTCTGGGCCAAGAACTGGGAGAAGATGGACGTGCCAAAGATAGACATGGAGCCGGTACCAGTGATGGAAATAACTAAAGTGGCAAGTTTCACCGATACAAGCTCAGAGATTCCGCGACGTGTCGAGACGAAGATGGATGTCAAGCTGTCTATAAAAGATGATCAAGATGAAAAATCAATCGCTTCCGATTCGGAATTGATGAAAATTTTGGAAGAGGACAGCACGCATTCGGACGAATCTAGGATTACCAACAGGAAGGACGGCACGATGAATTCGAAGGACAGTCATATACTTTTAGACGCGCTAACGGGTGGTAATGCGGACATAAAAGAGAAAATCACTGCTACGCCAAACATTAAAGCGGAGAGCGCAGGTACAATGATTGCAGTAAAATGGAAACAAAATTATGCATTCAGTCTTTCAATTGTTAATTGACAGGATTGAACTCTTGTCGCGAATAAATTAATAGCTGTACAAATGTTACTTATTGTATAATATCTCTACGCAGATGTGTCACCTGAGAAAACTACTATTGGCAGTACCGCGTCGAAGAATCTCAATTCTGGACCGCTTATTGACGATGTTCAACAAGAAGCGAGCATAGCCAACGTCAAGCAAGAAGTCTCCGCACTTCCGCAGCCTTTTATACCGGAGCCCGAGGCGCCGATCGATCCAGCTGAATGCCGAATGCGATTATTGGAGCATATCGAGCATTTTCAATCTCACATTGATTCAAGATTGACATCCATAGAAGCGCAGATTTTTTGTACGTAGCCTAAAAAGACCGTCGCGGAAACACGTATTAAGATACATTCGACGTGCGTTCACTGCATGCGTTTTAATTTGCAGCTCTAGAGGCGATGGACCCGGATGAACTCGTGTCAAATCCGCTTAGTCAATCCTGTACTAAGCAGACAGTACAGATGCTCCTTCGTGACTTGAACACAGTCCGGAAGCTGGCAGCGTTATGTTGAAAACGTATGTTTTCAAACTGATAATTTACGATATACATATGTATATAGTGTAGATAGACGATATAGATAGGTGTAGACATGAGTGATATTTCTCTTCAATTTCCTCATCAATGCAGATAATTGTTCTATCGTACTAGAAGTGAGATTCAACTATTTAAGATGACTGTTAAATAAATCTACTTGACTTCGCGTTTAAAATTTATTGTAGAATTGTAATATTTTACCAAGTAAACTGATATTTTTAAACAGGTGTTCGTTCGTGTGTGTGTTTATGAACATCCTTACGACGAGTGGTAACATAGTCCAGACTTACAATTCTTTTTAATATTTGTTAACACGTACGTACGAAGAATTATATCATTAGTGTCTGAATTAGTATTTCGATATTGGTATTTTCCATAGTCGTATTTTGAAATAAGTTCTGAAATATAGATATAAATTGAGCCTTTTGAAGTACATTACACAGGTATCTGCTGTTAATTACTTTGTCTTACGATTATGTTAAATTTACCCCAAGATTATTTGATTAAATATTCATGCACTGTTAAATTATGAGAAAGAGACGGACGTCGACAATGCCTTTGCGACTTTAATCACGAGACACGGTAGTGTAAGCGCAGCTAGAACCGCGTCTATTTTTAAACCTTTTTTTATTAAAAATATTAGCAACGAATAAATTCTGTGACGAGTCAATTTTTTCCCTAAAGATTAAACAAAAAGTTATCTGAAGATTCCGAAATTGAATTTTTTTTAGTTATCGAAAAAAAGATCTGTACATTTGCTGTTCCAAATTTTGGAAGCACACTTTTAATTCGATCAAGCGGAACATTTCTAAGAAATGCGGTTAAAAAAATAAGTAATCAAAATGTACGATAAACTCTTGTTACAGCCAGTTTCTTTGAATATGATTTTTTCTTTAACTAAAAAATACGACTGCTCTGCCAATTCACTTTTAAACGACAGTGCGTATACGTCGCTAATCGAACGTTTTGGCTGTGATTTGAAATAAAGTGCAATTACACTTTATATCTTTAAACAAAAGTTCCTTTCGGGACGTTGAGTGAACAGAAGAACGTCTTCTAGCCTAGAAGAGAAATTTTTTATCCTCGGGGTCGCGTCATCCGATCGCATCAATAATTGGGCCTCCGCGTTGTATTAACCAACTAAAACTTGCTCGAAAAATCACAACGCGCCTTCAGGTCGGCACGTGTATGCACTTGAATTCTCTGTCGAGCGGTCGCGCGGGATCTTCCCTCATTGAGACGGCCGCAAAATCGACCATTGGTTAGTCGCGGCGGTTTTGGAGCCGACTCGGATTCAAGAGCCATTAAAAGACAAGAGGCAGGCGGATCTTTAAACACCGCGTCCATTATCGCGCCGTCGCAACTTACTCCTCGTACAGCTGTCAGCGCACCCTTTCGTGCCTTCTCTTTCCCACCGCGACGTCCAATTTCACATCCGTCTCGTTCTAAGTGCCGGTGCAGCTGACCGGGGGCAGATCCGACGTATTCCCGCGTTCCGTCCGGTCCGCTTCTACGTATTGGTTCTGCTCTGGACGGTTTGCCTCGTTCGATTCCGTTCAGTTCTGTTCAGTGATCAGTTCGCTCCGGAGCGCGGAGGCACGAGGGTTTTCGCGCGCCCAGACGAATCTCTCTCACGCTCTCTCGCGTGGCGCACGTCTTTCCACGAGCCGACGACGATGAAGTACATCCTGGTGACCGGCGGTGTGATCAGCGGCGTGGGCAAGGGTGTCATCGCCAGCTCGTTCGGCACCATCCTCAAACACTGCAACATCCGCGTGACGTCCATCAAGATCGACCCCTACATCAACATCGACGCCGGAACGTTCTCGCCCTACGAGCACGGTGAGTCGTGCGGCTGTGTGTGCGCGCGTGATGTCAGCGCGTCCCCCGCGAAAATCGGCGCAACTTCCTGGAAAATCGCGTCGGAAAGTCGGATTCTTCGCTCGCCCTCTTCCCGCCGTGGACAAAATCTGTCCCGTTCGAGCTGTCCGTTAACGAGGATTCGTTCGTTATTATATTTGCTTGGACACGACGCTGAAAGGTCGCGTGAGGTTAAATTCGAATTTGTTTCGCCGGTACCGAAAAACCCGATTCGCTCGTATCCGCTCGTCTCGTCGCCGACGACGAGGGAAACGGATTAATGCGGATTCATCTGCCGTCCGGGTGGAACCTGACGCACGCCTCGTGCGACAAAGTCCCGCGAAGATCGCCCGACCGGATGCCGCGGCGCGACGCGGCGATCCTCCTGTGGCGGTAAAATTTCCAGCCATGTGCCGCGTCGCCATTTTCTACGCTTTCGTCACGTCGTCGGGCGATTTAAGGTCCGTCCAGACGGACGGACGTCACGCACGGTCGCAGTAACCGGACCACGTGTGCGATAACGCGCGGAATGCGGGACGATTCTTGGTTTCAGGCGCGATTCGGTTTCTTCTTGAGGCGACTCCGACTAAGCTCCGATTACGTTTGATTGGCGATTAAGATAGTTGAACGGCGGAGTCGCCTGGAATGAAATTCTATAACTTCTGACTCGTCTAATCCGCCCCTTCTTCCATATGTCAAAGAATATGTCGAGGAAGATTGCGACTCGATTCGCGTTTACGAAATAATATTGCTTGATAAGTCGATCACCCCCGGACTCTTTCCGGGGTTGCGGCACGTGTTGTCCCCGGTGCTCGATCATTGCGGAATAGTATCCCATTATACAGCACTGAAACTTTCAGAAACATTGCAACATTGCAACAATGTTTTCTGAAATGTTTCTGAAAGCTTTGGTGCTGTATGGGATAGAATCCCAGAGAAGACTGAGCATCAATTACGTTGCATTTCTGTTACAATTTATCACTCAACAATGTAAATAACACATGTGTTAGATTACATTTACATCGTTGAGTGAGAAATCGTAATGTAAATGTAACGTAACTGACGCTGGGTGTTCACTGAGACGATATTTAGCTCTAGTAGCACAGTGCATTGGCTAAACATCAGCTAAACATTTGTCCAATGTTGGTTATATTAGAAATACATTGACCAATATTGTCCAACGTGAAGCCAATATTGGCCATGGAATAAATGTAAATATTGCACGATAATAATTGGATAATGTTAGGTTTATATTGAAAGTGCATTGGCATTAGCAATGTACTAAGAATATTGGCCTAATATTGATACAATATTAAAACAATATCGCTAAGTAGACATATTGGCTGAATATGAGAAGGCGTTCATCTTACAATATTGGACCAATATTGGGAATACTAGATTTACAATATTTCCCAATCTTACGCCAATATATTGTGCTACTGGGTAGCTGACGCCAATAGCGAATCTTGCTTTTTAAATTTATATAGTCTTGTCCGTGTCATCCGCAATAATAAACAGGAGGCGGAAATTGTATTTGTTTAAGATATTGCTACTTTTCACAAACACACACACACACACACACACACACACACACACACAAACTGTATATAATAAATAATAAGATATATGTAGTCTTAAAAATTGGGAATGTGGGAGGAGGTCTGATATTGTCAAAGTCGAAGCTCGAATTTAAGGAAATCTATCTTTAATGTGGTTAGCAGTACGGCAATGAAAGTTCGATTGTGTTCTCGCTCGGTACAATTCTGTATCTTACAATATAGTGAAAATGCTAAAAGTGAGCGACTTTGTATCTTTTCTAAAGGGACAAATCTATTCACTTTTAGCATTTTCCGAGGGGAAAACCGTTGACCAAAATCTTGTACACCAATACCCGCTAATGTCCAGTGGGCATTACTTTATCTTATCTTATTTATCTTGCTTTATCTTATTTTATCTTTATAATGCCCAAAAAATGCCTAGTAATGCCGCAAATCTGTACACCACAATGCCCTCAGTGGTTTCCCCCCTCGGCATTTTCGCTATAGTGTAACATACAGAATTGACCCCCAGATCGGCAAAATAGAATCATCCTGCAGGTATTTCTTGTGTTTATTTCGACAAGATCATCCTACTTCAAATCCGGGAATCACAATATAATAGTTATATATGTGTAAATATATATGCGAAGGATTCGTTATCTTTTACAATTTATGTAAAGAATTTTTGTTAAAAGGGAAGCATAAGGTTTGCGCTGAGAATCATGTTTCATTTGCGATTATAGTGTCGTTAATTAAATATTTCCCCGCAAAATTAGAAATCGTTAAATTAACTGGCAATTGGAACAAAATTATCACTGAATTAATTGCGGGAGAAAAATGCAAAAAATAAATATAAGAGAGAAAGGCCCAAAATAAACAATTTACGTTTTAAAGTTTATGCGAAGAATTTTTGTCGCACTCAAAGTGTAAGGTTTACATTGGAAATCGTCCTTCACGTACGATAATAATATTGTCATAATTTAAATATTTCCTGTAAGATCAGTTAAGTTGGTTGTTAAGCTGATCACAATTAGGATAGGATTACTACTAAAATATTTGTTCTAACAACGTCACCAACACAACTGGATAACACATTGAGCAGATCTTTTTAGCGCATGTCCTAATTGTTAAATTATTACGAACGCTTGCGAATGCTGGTACAGTTATGCTCGCCACATGTCAATAATGGTTTCTAATTTCCTACGAAATATAATACCTACTGCCTGGGTCCCATTGTTCGGCCAGTTATTCGATTGTACAGGTATTCCTGGAAGGTAAACGTTCTTAAGTTACTGGTTTCCTGTAGACACATTCGCCTTTGTCTCTGCACCTCCGTTGCCCTTGTCTCTGCAAATGCGTCTTCTAACGGAAAATTTCCTTTCTGTAAAACAGGCGAGGTTTACGTGCTCGACGATGGCGGGGAGGTGGATTTGGACTTGGGCAATTACGAACGTTTCCTGGACATCACGCTTCACAAGGACAATAACATAACGACTGGGAAAATTTATCAGCATGTTATCACAAAGGAGAGACGAGGGGATTACTTAGGCAAAACAGTACAAGGTTACAAGTCTATTTATAATATTACAGGCGTCTAATGAGCACGGTGAGTTATGTAAGTTAATAAAAGGCAATATCTCGTTTCTCTAGTGGTGCCCCATATCACCGATGCGATTCAGGAATGGGTGGAGAAAGTCGCGAATCAATCTGTGACAGAGGATGGAGCTAAACCAGAGGTATTCACTACGTGAATTATTATGTTATGTGCGATAATAATATCTTTAATAATATTTGCATAAACTCATAACAATATAATTCTCCTAATTGTATGTTAATAATTTTTCCAGGTCTGCATAGTGGAACTAGGAGGCACCATAGGGGATATAGAGGGAATGCCGTTCGTAGAAGCGTTCCGGCAATTTCAGTTTAGAGTGAAGAAGGAAAACTTCTGCGTGGCCCATGTGTCTCTGGTACCCCAGGTACATATTGATACATACTTCATGATCTTTGCATAAATTATTGTGAATGATCTTTATACTTTTCTTTAAACAATTCAGTGCCTCAGAGATAAATAATATGACATAACATTATTTATCTTTGAGGCACTGAATTCTAGAAACGGAAATATCTTACAGCCAAAATCGACGGGTGAACCTAAGACCAAGCCGACACAGTCTAGCGTCAGGGAGCTGCGTGGGTTAGGCTTGTCACCCGATTTCATAGTCTGTAGGTCAGAAAAGCCTATTGGCAATTCCGTCAAAGAGAAAATTTCCAATTTCTGCCATGTGGCCCCGGAGCAGGTACACTAATTAAAAACTTTTACCTTAATATTACAATATCGCTGCGATATACATACTGTTATGAAGACGTAATATTAACGTATCTCTATATTTTATGACTCGGTCAGGTGATAACTATTCACGATTTAACGTCCATTTATCGAGTGCCGCTTCTTATGGAGTATCAAGGTGTCATAGAATTCCTTAACGATCGATTGCAATTAAACATTGGGGTGCCGCGGCCTCGTTACTTCATGCGAAAATGGCGTGACCTAGCCGAACGCGTGGACCACTTGCGGAAAGACGTTAACATCGCCCTTGTGGGTAAATACACAAAACTCGAGGACTCCTATGCATCCGTTACGAAAGCGTTGCAACACGCTGCCATTGAGGCCGGATATAAATTGAACTTGACGGTAGAGTGTCGCAATTATTAAAAGTATATTGTACACATGCCATGCACGCGTGACTATATATATTGTTGAATTGTTATAGTTTATAGAAGCTGCTAATTTAGAACAAACTACATTAGCGGAGGATCCAGTAATATATCACGAAGCTTGGCAGCAGCTTTGCAAAAGCAAGTAAATATGATTCAATATAATATTATTATAATACACAATATTATTATTGTATTCTCTGCTTGCCGACGTGCTTATAATTCTTGACCACGCGAGATAACATTGTATCTTCGATAGAAAATGTAAAATGTATTTATTGCATCTAGCGGCGTTATTGTACCGGGTGGCTTTGGAAAGAGGGGCATAGAAGGAAAGATGAAGGCCTGCGAGTGGTGCAGAATAAACGATAAGCCGTTCCTCGGGATTTGTCTGGGCTTGCAAGCGGCGGTCATTGAATTCGCGCGAAATGTCTTGCATCTGGAAACGGCGAACAGCACAGAAATTGACCCGAATACTAGTAGCCCTGTAGTAATAGATATGCCCGAGCATACTCAAGGTATGATGGGTGGAACAATGAGATTGGGCAAAAGACAAACGCGATTTTACAATAATAACTCTGTTTTAAGTAAGTAGTGGGATTCGTTGAGAAAGAGTTAAGTTTTGTTTTCCCCATTGATATATTTTAATTTATAACTGTTTATTCTTCAGAGAAACTGTACGATAATAAAGATGTCATAGAGGAAAGACATAGGCATAGGTATGAGATAAATCCTGACTACATCAGTGATTTAGAAGCAGCTGGCTTAAAATTCGTAGGTGAGTTAGATCGCATCTTCTAATAAAGTTACGGTTTTTCGTTAAATATGACGCGCGATCTTGGTTTAATTAAAATGATATGAAACATGCAATCCAACATTCTTGTAGGCCGCGACGACGACGAAAATATACGTATGGAAATTGCCGAATTGGAAGACCATAGTTATTATGTAGCTACTCAATTTCATCCTGAATATCTGTCGAGGCCGTTAAAACCGTCACCGCCATTTCTCGGTTTAATTTTAGCCAGTGTTAATAAACTGAAGCAGTACTTAGCGCGAGGATGTAAATTTTCTCCACGTCAACTGAGCGACAACGAGTCAGGTAACGAGTCAAACAATGAAAGAGAGATTGTTCATCAAGCAACTCGTTTCTGTTCACTGGACAAGAGCCTCAAACAAGCATCTTTTCGGAATATTTAGTCTTACTCCACCACGCTCCAATGCGGATTGGTAGAGGTGGCGATCGAATAAAATCATCCATTTAATAGCAAACTTTCTGACTCACAATCGCTATAAAAATACATGTATACATATGTATACAAATTAATAAAAACTAAATACAATAAATAAGTATTTATATATTTATTACATATTTATCAATAACTATGTAAGATAAATAAATATACTATATTTTTATAAGTATATTACGTATAGCAACAACAGATATTTACTTTCAATTTATAATTAAAATTCCTACGATTGACATGTTTGTACGAATTGTTACAGATGACGATTATTACATGGAGGAAATGACGAAGCTGCACTTATCTAGTGGTGCGAGTAGAAGCGGTAGTAGTACATCGGGTCTTAATGATTAGACTGCAGCTTTACTTAGTTTCATTTCATTCCATAATTTTATTATTTTTTTCCCACAGTCTGAGCTACTACACTTTTATCTCATCTATTTTTGTTACTTAATTCATAATTAAAAAATCAATATACACACACGAACGTATGCGATCAATTTTACAGAAAAAAAGAAATATTTGTCTCTAAAATACGTCTTGTGAAATTCATCAAAAGTTTTATATTTTGTAATAAATTAAGTTACGTTTTAATAAAAAAAATTTTGTATATACTGCAAATATATACTCAAAATGATATTGATATTCCCTTCTAAAATTTCCTGTCGAAATAGGTAAAGCACAGAGTTGGGAAGCAACTCGTTACACGAAGTTACAGTTACAATTATTTCTTTTTGGCAACTCTAACTTAACTTCGTTACTTCCTCTCCATCTGTAACTGTAACTTAACTCAGTTAGACTTGTTCGATATCTAGTAACTAATTTAATAGTTACATTAATAATTACTTTATATATTTTTTAAACCTCCACAAATCGCATAGGCCTTGCCTTTGCATATAAGTGCCTCCCTAGAAGCATAATTCATTCGCTATACATTGGCTTAACATTAGAAAAACATTGGTTATGCTGGAAGTGCATTGGCCAATATTTTCTCAATATAACACCAATATTGGTCATAAAACAAATGCAAATATACTATTGATATTGTACCTAGATGATTATTTAATATTGGATTGATTGGCCAAGATTGCCCAGTAAAATTGTAATATTGAATATAGAATAAATGCTAATGTAACGCCAATGTTACGTATCAATAATTGCACGGTACTGTGTTTACATTGAAAGTGCACTGCAAAAATATGAGGCCCTCCACCATCCCCGACAATTTCGATCGACGGCCCTCTTTTCCTTACAATGTTTAAATTTTAAGTGAATTTAAAGTAAAAACTTAACAAACGCATAACAACTTCTATCTCATCATATGCAACCGATTACAAATATAATAATATTTAATAGTAATGCATTGCAGTTATAATTTATCTACATTTTTAATTATGCAGTAATGTCCCCCTGTCCCTGCCTACCCGAATCCCTACCTATCCGTATTTCGCTGTACAGTCTTGTCCATTTTCCTACCTACCCGCGTTTCGTTAATCTCTTTTTGTTAATAAATCTGCAAGTCTTTCGTTAAAACTGCGACGCGATTTATGAGAGGTCCGATTTGGGATTATATGCGCGCGATTTAATAGGGATTTAAGTCTTTTTAATCTCGCACATATGCGAGAATATGTAAAGAAGAGAAGAATATAACCCACCCGAATTTTGACAAATAAGAAGAAATCAACTTATTTCGTACATCACCTGCTTACTTAGGTACCCCATCAAAGTGGCCAATATTGACCACTTACCCCCCCATCGTATTCAGTTTTCCCTCGTCGGGCCAGATTGGACGTACCTTTCGATGCTCCCGGCCATAACAGTCTGGTCATTTTGACCAGAGATCAGGAAGGAAGAAAACTCCTTCCATAGTCGGTTTGTTATCGTCACCGACAAATATTACGTACGATTTAAATTATATGCGAGCGTCGATCGTATCGAAAAATACACGACGAGAAGTTAATTAAGAAAGAATTTTAATTCGAAAAATTTATTGCATAAAACTTATTTAATATATTTCTACTCCCGCTATTTACTCGAGAGTATTGACTGTCTCTTTGCGACTCAATCTTTGAATTCAAAATTCACGTATATACATATATCACAGAAAACATTTCAAATCGCGTTATATTAATTTTAATTATATTCCACGGTAAATTAAAATTGATAATATGGATGGAATTAAACAATTAATAACTTGTTGAAAATTTTCTGAAAAAGCGATCGCGAAAACCGACCGCGAAAATACGAAGATGCGTGTGACTAGGCATGTATTCATGCGAGACGCATCTTGAAAATGTATCGCGGGATACACATACAGAATAAATGACGTGAGACTCATAGAAACTTTCCGTACGATAGATAGACCGACAATTGAATATTCTAATTAATCAATAATCTCAAAGAATGTATAAAAGTAACACAAAGTTTCACCGTTCTCGACAAAATGTTAGAATCTCACGTCATATTGTTTCACTTTATATATAAATTTGTTAATGAAAAATGGATAGGTTATAAGAGATTAACGAATACATTAATAATATTCGTCATAGTTTGCGTAAAATATGTGATGTGTTGTAACGGGGCACCCAACCCTCCGCAGTAAAAAGCGCGATCGCTCCCTTTTGATAGGTGAAAAATATTAAAATAAACATAAAATTATATTGTAATCTATCCATTTTTAAGGCAACGGATCTACGAGATATACTAATCTATGATCTACGATCTACGAGATGTAGATTCGTTGCCTTAATAAAAAAGTTACTTCGACTTAATTACCACCCGATGCGCAGCAGCGGAGTTAGGCCACGCTGATTCTGTAACAGAAAAATATAGAATTAATTACATCAGTGTTCATAACAATTAATATTGTAAAATATAGAATTAACTCTTATGTGCAATAAACATTTTATTTGGTCTGACATTTAAATGATTAATTCGCAAAAGATTTTCCGCAAGAGATCTTCATAAACTTTTGTAAAATTTTCAATTATTTCTGATTCTCTAATTATTATTTCGAAATTGTCAAATTATAAAATAAAACGACTCAAAAGTAAACTGTAAAGGAGATTAATTTTACACTAAATAACAAATATTTACCATAAAGTTGCTCCGCTGGTGCCCGATGCCTTTCCCAAGCCTCCTCTTCCACTCATTGTCAGATTATCCGGTACACTCGCGAAACACACAAAGATCGTTCGCGCGATTCTACACTCCCGTTTTAAAGCCCACGTGAGAGAATGTATTTCGTTCCGTCAAGTTCGCCTCCACTTCGAGTCGACGAGTATTATACCCGAAAAACTGCCAAATCTCGGAAGTGTCCCAGTGAGAAATGATTTGTCGATCGACGTCGAAACGACGTCGAATCGACATCGACACCGTCGAATTGGCGTCGATTCGACATCATTTCGACGTCGATCGACGAATCATTTCTCACTGGGACACTTCCGAGATTTGGCAGTTTTTCGGGTACAATACTCGTCGACTCGAAGTGGAGGCGAATCATTTCTCACTGGGGTGGCGACAGGAACGGATATTTAACGAATACTTGTTCCTCAAATGGGCTTTGAAAAGTCTTTAGCTCGATTATTTAAACGGCACTCCCGAACGCGACGAAAACGGAAACTTTATATGTTATACGCGCACTTTTGTATGCATAACGATGTGACTACGGATCGCGACAATCACTTAAACGCGATTGATAAACGTTAACATCTCTCGTATGAGACGATCGAGATTCTCGTAGCAAATGATCGCGTCACGACGAGCAACGCGACGACACGCGACACGTCCGTCTCGCTCGATTTCGCTCGACTGAATGGACTGAACTGCCGAATAATAGACTGTTTTCGACCGAGGTGTTTTTATGGCGCTACGTCATTTCGTGGAACCGGCGCTCGGCTTTCGGCCGAGTTGTTTACGGCGCTCGGCAAAACAAGGTCACGCCGTTACGCAGGATCATTCACGCGGCGATAATTGAACGAGTCCGTTATGCCAGCGAAAAACAACTGTATCTCTATGTAACTAGATACTTTTATAAAGTAACTTTCCCAACCCTGGTGACGCATTTGAAAGCAACTTCTCCCTTCGATCAAGAGCAACTGGAATAGATTAGATACCTGTTAGAAAATATGTTAAACGTAAAATGTTTTCGATCTTTCCTCTGAACTTATTTTACATGCAAGAAATGTGCTTGCCGGTTTCCCGGGAAAAACAGAGAAGAGAAAAAGTTCAGGCAGAGAGAAACTGAGAGAGAGCGGCCACGCTGCGGCGTTTTAAGGCCTTCACACATAAAATTCCGTAAGGACGTAAAACGTAAAGGCCTTCACACACAAAATTCCGTAAGGACGTAAATAAAACGTAAGCGTAAGAAAATCAACAGATTGGATTTGCTACTGCTTGCGTTATTGCCTTACGTTCTCGACTGTGATTGGTCGATTTTCTTAAGCGTCGTCTACAATGAACGCAAAACGCAAGACGCTAGGCCGCAAGCAAGAAATCGACCAATCACAGTCAAGTATGAGAAGAACGATCGACTGTGATTGGTTGATTTCTTGCTTGCGGCCTAGCGTCTTGCGTTCATTGTAGACGACGCTTTACGCTTACGTTTTACGTCCTTACGAAATTTTGTGTGTGAAGGCCTTGAAGGCCTTTAAGCCTATCACACAATGCCAGGCAACAGGCAACAGGAACAGGGAATAGAATTTCTGACGCGTTGGATTGGTTGGAAGAAAATTTCCGACGAATCCAACGCGTCAAAAATTCTATTCTCTATTCCTATTGCCTGTTGACTGGCATTGTGTAATAGGCTTTACTCGATGCCGTTTCGGGAGACTGTGGATGTGTTCGAAAATGGATTTAGTTACTGCCAGTGAAAACAGTATAGTTGGTAGCAATGAAAATTACTGGTGCTGCGTTTTTCGCACGCCAGTAAAGTCAGTAACCCCTGGTCCACAATCTTGCTTTAAGTAAGTTGTAAGCCTTAAGCCGTAAGAAATTAACCAATCGCAGGCATTTATTCCCCTCACTCTCACCTGTGATTGGTTAATTTCTTACGGCTTAAGGCTTACAACTTACTTAAAGCAAGATTGTGGACCAGGGGTAAGGCTGGGTCTACATTGGATGTCGTAAGTCGTGTCGGAAGAAATTGACCAATCACAGTTCATTATTCGACTTACGACATCCAATGTAGACCCAGCCTTACTGACTTTACTGGCGT